CTTTTTTTTTTTTTTTTTTTTTTGATTGCGGTATCCGACTGTGCTCACCGAGATCTGTGGAATCAAACTTGGAAGGGCCTTGATCGGAGCTATTTTGTCTAGAATTCTTAAACCACCAGTACTTGGCCCAGCTATTGCAGCCGAGCCTGGAAGTGCCCTGCGCGCCGTTTCCCGCCGAAGCGCCAATTCGATTTTGGTTTTCGGAAAGGCTGGCGGCGCCAGCCTTCCAGGTCCGGTTGCCCGAAGCGTGAACCTTGCGTAGCGTTAACGCTAAGGCCCACGGCCGATATATGGGCCAAGTACTGCTGGCTTAAGCCACCCGGATTCTTTTAGTAGGTGAGCAATATATTGGCAACTGTTGTATTCCTTTCGTGGGGTATTGGCCGGCAAGGCGAAGGAAGGGGGGTATAAATTGGTTTTAAAGGGGCCAAAAGGGGTTTAAAGTTTAAACCTAGCAAGATTCTCACGCCCCGCTGATCCTGCCCGGCCGGGCACCCGGGCGTGATCCCCGGGGGGGTCTGACACCCGGGGTACCCAGGCGTCCAACATTTTTATTTTTTATTTTTTTATTTTTTTGGGTTTTTTTTTTTTCTACGCTCTCCCAGAGGTCCCCAAATCTGGGCTCATTTCGTTTTTCGCGAGTTGGCTGTCAAGGGGGGGGAAGGGGGGTATAAATTTGGTTTTGAAGGGGCTGAAGGGGTTTAAAGGGGAGTGCCTTAGTGTGTTCCGTTATTTTCTTTTTTATCTCCGATTCTGTGAGGAATTCTAATGAACCCTCACCCAAAAAACGTTTGTATTGCCATTCTACACAACATATTGTTTTCCCGGAATTTTTTGAATTCTTTTTTTTTTTTTGGGGCGCTGGGGCTGCCCGGAACCCTGCCCGGGGGTCATGCCCGACCGGGCACCCGGGCATGTACCTGGGCATAAGTTGGGGCCCCGGGCGCCCACAAAAAAAACAACCTAGGTTTGAACTTCGAAGGGGAATGGCTTTTAGTCTGATTCTGTTATTTTCTTTTTTATCTTCGATTCAGTGAGTAATTCGGATGTGACCCTCAGCCAAGACTTGTTTGCATTGCAATTCTCCACAACATTTTTTTTTGCAGAGTTTTTTTCTTTTTTTCTTTTTTTAATCTGCGCTAGGACTGCCCGCAACTCTGGTCGGGGTTTGTGCCCGGGCGTGTATCTGGGTACGAGTTTTATGCCCGGGCGCCCCGAAAAACAGCCTAGCTTTTCTTTTTTGCAATTTTAAATTTCGCTTCCTTTTTTTTTTTTTTTTTAAGGGCTCTTCAATTAATAACTTTTGGATCAATGTTGAACGGGAAAGGTTGTAAAAAAAAAATCAGTCGTTACATATTCCTCGATTTTTGACGCAGTCTTCTTTTTTGTGTCACCGTCATGTTCACAGTTCGTAGAGAAGGCTCCGGAGACTGTCGTGCAGGATGTCAGAAACAAGGCAGCTGAGGCGGCAGAGAAACTCACAATCATCAACGAGCGGTTAAAGCAATTGGCAGCGATAGCACAGTAGAGTCCAGTTTGTCGCTGTCCGGCTTTTTTTTTTTTTTAACTCACTTTTAAGTTTTAACTATACAGTAACTTTTTTGAAGTTTTTCACTTTTTACTCTCTCTTTTTTTTCTGCACTACTCTGTTTTTAACTTTTTAACTTTTTACTAACTTTTCGTTGTCCGGCTTTTTCTTTTAACTCACTTTTAACTATACAATAACTTTTTTCATTTTGTTTTTTACTCTTTCTTTTTTTTCCCCACTACTGTGTTTTTAACTTTGAGGGGAAGAGTTAAAAGGATGGCCTGAGCGAGGAGCCCACAGGGGTGGTTGTCAATACAGCAGGCAAGCCCCTCTAATGTGAGTAGCAGGGAGCATATGTAGAGGATGAGAAATGGGTGTGTGTAGGAGAGTGGGCATGGGTATACACAGCAGAAGCCTCGTCTGCAAAGCAGATTCCGACTGCCCCAGTACAGCGAGGCAAAAGTTTTTTCAGCTGAAACAGGGGGGAGAGGGAGAGGGAGAGGGAGAAGGGGGGTGGGGGGGAAGTGAGTGGTACAACGTAGAAATGGGTTAGCCAGTCGTGGGAAGGGTGTAAAATGAGGGGAGCCGAAGCGTTGGAATGGGGGAGAAGCACGTGAGCCGAAGAGTAGAAGACTGATAGGAAATTGCTCGATAAGATAAGATTTCTGTCATTTTGAATTTTTGACATTTCAATGGATTTTTATTATTTTTTAATATTTTCTCTGCTGCATCTAATCTTTCCCTCTCCAAGCAAATGAAGGTGGCTTCTGATCGCTGGTCGCCGCAACAGGAGCCAATAGGCAAAAAAGGCTTTCCTATACTTTTTTGCACAAAAGTTGAGCTGATGAGAAGACAGTTTGAAGCAACAGGGGGATTGCAGCAGCTGCGATATGATCTTGGGTGCCGTCCCTCCCTCCATATTTGAATTCCGCCCCTCGTCCTCCAGAGTGTCGTCCCTCCCTCCATTTTTGAATGCAGCCCCTCGTCCTCCGGACGGAGTGTCGTCCTTCCCAGATTCAGTGTGTACATTATCAGCCATAGGACCTCCTCCGTGCAAGCATGGATTCGAACCGGCACCCTCAGCCTCAAGAGCCGAGTCTCTTAACCACTACAGCCATGACACGGTGTACAAGAGTGAATCCATGCCGATCGTGATATTCACCCCACCCCTGCATGGCTGTAGTGTCCTTCAACTCACACACACACACACAACACCACACAAGGCATCCGCCACACAGGCAGTAGTCACATACTCCACTCTCATCCTGCACAACTGCTTATCCAACGGTTTTATCCACGGGCCACCTCCGCCAGGTATAATTTCCGGGCTGGTTACCCGGTTGAAGTACAGTGTGTACATTATCAGCCATAGGACCTCCTCCGTGCAATTCAGGCTCCAGCAAATCATGAGGTGGAATACAAGGGGTACGTAGCAATCGCGATATGATCTTGTTGATTGGGGGTTCAAAATGGGGGGGCATTATTTAGCTGAGGGATGCAAGTCAAGTGGTTGATTTTTTTATTTTTTTTTTATGTTACTTAGCTGGGGAGCCATAGGAGGCAATTTAAGGGTGCAATGAAATGTCGCTGTATCTGGCTACATAAAGGGTGTGCAGTACATAAGAGTGTTTCTTGGATGAGGGATGACCATCAACCATAGAACTGTTATTCTTTAGCTTCTGAGGTTGTTGGCAAAAAAAATGGCCACCCTAGTAGGGGGGGCTGCTCTTATCGCCTCCCGTAGGAAGGGGGCGCTGCTCTTATCACCTGGTTGCTGAAATTGTGTATGCGGCTAGGCTACCAGCTGGGCCGCCCGGTTCACCCTATTTTACCGGGCGGCCCCGCCCTGCAAGGACCAGGGAAGGTCCCAGCCAAAAAAAAAAACAAAAAAAGAACTATGTTATGCAGAAAAATAAACTGAACAACGTTTGCCTCAGGGTCAAGGAGCGAAGCAATGAGTATGAGTTCTAAAAAAACTGACATTTCAATAAAACTGACATTTTTTTCTAAATTCACAAAATTGAGCATACAAAAAAACAACATTTTTTAGTGTTTTTTTGTCCCCATGACGCTGGATGATCAGATCATCGGGTGTCGTGCCGACTCCCGATGATCTGACCATCGGATGTATGATAACGGTACTTCACGTTGAGGTACATCAGATGGATAACCACTTTCTCACCCGAGGAGCAATGAAATTTTGACTAAGTCCACTTTCATGAATTTAGAAAAAATTGTCAGTTTTAACCATAGCTACTATCCGGACCACCGGACAGGGATCCGGACCGTCCGTGGTCCGGGGTCCGGGGTCCGGATCCGGATCTTGGTCGGATGTGAGGGTCCCAGCCCAATGGCCAAAAAATTTTTGGGTGGTCCAGGGTGTTTGTTCACGCCCTGGGCCACCCCAAAAAAATAGTGCCTTATTTTTTACCACCCTCACCGACGATCCAGACGGCCCGGAAAGTCTACGAGGGGGTTTGTACACCTGAGTATTAATATCCTCATTGTGTCCAGCCTCTTTTCCGAAGGATCCCTCCAGCGTATTAGCTGGGACCCTACATCATGCAGAGGTGCAACTCAAACGTGTACTTTGTGAGCGTGGGCAGAGAATATATAGTCTATATTCAAATTCAGGTCTGTGCATCTCGGTTATGGGTCACTATTTCTGTGTTTTCTCGTTTTGCTTTCCTTTTCTCATTTTTCTTTTCTTCTCTCGTTTTTCTTTTCTTTTCTCGTTTTTCTTTTCTTAGGAATACGTGCAGTGGCCCTAAGGGCCTCTACTCACCAAATGCACAAAAGACAAAACATATGGTGGCGTATTATTCCACGTTCTGCAGAAGATTCATTCAATTTTTGCACATTTCTTGAGTAGTGCAGCCAAGCCCTAAGACTCACGTGCAGAGACCAACAGGTCCTAGCTACACGAGCAACCTATAACTGCTGAAGCACAGACCTGAACTCGAATCTTGAGTATATATTCGGGCAGCTCATGCTCTACGTCATATCCCTGCCTGCCTCGATTTTTGGGGGGGTCTGCGCTACATGGGTGCGAGGACCCTTCAGATAGCCTGCATGGGCCATCTGAGCCGTGTTAAG